TTGACCAGTGCGGCTTGTTCCAGACGATAATCCAGGCAACGCAAACAGTGGCAACAGCAGCGCAGGTGCCAGTAGAGAAAGTAGCGGACAAACTTCGAATGGCTTTTTGGTCACAGCAGCTGCAGTGTCAGCCCAGTCTCCTTGGAGTCAGCAGCAGTGGTGTTTGGATTTCTTCAGGCAAAAATGAGTTCCATGTTGCAAAGGGCAGTCTCGTAGGTGGGTGCATTTTTACACCTTGTTGAGTTTGTTTGTTTTGGATTTTTTAAAAATCTGACTGCAATTTCTTTTCCCCACAAAATATATCCATAGTAAGGCCTGGCTGCTGATGATTTAAGAACCAAGGTAAAAGTGCCTCTATTTTATAGAAGAGAAAAGGGGGTACAAAGAGTGCTGAGAGATGCTGCCTCAACATTAGTTCTGAGTAAAAGTAATATTGTAGAAAAACAAGTTTTGCATATTTCAGTAGGATCCTGTTAGTGTTTCAGCAGTGTGGGGGATAATGCTTCTATTCAACATAGCCTCCTCTTTCTTATTTAAGCTAGGAGTTTCAGTCCGTGGTATGCAGTGCCTAACACAATGGGATCCTGGCCCATGATTACTTAGGTGGTGCAGTTAATGCAAATGATCAAGGCAGTATACACTTTAGAAATTGGGTCTATGAAAATGAAGACCGTGTCTACTACTTGGCATTTATCTCATAAGGTATACATGGTAAGATGTAATGTTTACCGGCTTTTAATCTGTCTGTCTAGCATAGCTTGTAACCAAATTGGTCTACCAATCTTCCAATTTACTCAGTCCTTATTTCATGTGGCCCCTATGATTTTTCAGTTGTCTTGGTGTTAACTTAAGTTGTTCTGTAAAATGTACTGTTCTAAGGACTTTCCCACCTTTTGAAGGACCCAGAACAAGAGCAATGCCTAAACAGTAATTTTGCAAAGGATTCCACTTAGGGGTGTCAATTAATCACCATTAACGTGAGCAGTTTTTTAAATGCATTAATCACGCACATTGTTTTGGAACCCACACCTGGGCTCTTCTTTACTGCTGTGACCGCTGTCTTCGGGCCACCCAGCAGGGCAGCAGTGGTAGTGCAGAGGAGCCACAAGGTAGCCTAGGCACAGGCTCTGGATGGGTGCAGCAGGAAGGTGGGGAGAGGAGGACACACAGCTGGGTGCTGCTCTATATGCTGCTAGGCTGCATTCCTGCAGGGTTATCATATTTCCAGCTTTGAAAAAAAGGATACCTGTGCGGGGTGTAATATAATTGTAGTGGGGGGCAGTGATATGCCCATGCCCTCCC